CACACATGAAGAAAAATAAAAGAGATAAAGATACCGATTCAAGGTAACCAGGCAGTCTCACACTCTCAAGCATCTTCACCATAATTTTGCAAAAACAAGAAAATAGTATTTTAGGGCTGCACCATAATTTGCAAGCCAATTCCTCCTGGCAAATAAAATATGTGGGGCAATATTTGGGACTGTGTGGAACTCTTGAAGGGTGTATGATTTTCCAGAGATGGTAATGACCTGAGGGGGGTGGTTCCTTTGCCCCCTAATTCTATACAAGATCTAGGAATGCCACTGCAGAAAAACATCTACTGGTCCACATAGTTCTTCTACTCTTTAGTATCATCATATCGATTGTATTTTTTCATGCATATATCATTATCATTGTGTGGTAGAAATGATATTGTATTTTAATATTACCTTCTTCCATTGTATAGATGATTACACCTCAGGCTATTTGAAGTAGGGAACTAGTTACTTTATTTCATCAACATACTTCCAGGGACCGGAAGCTGATGGTTTATGAACTGGTATTTTGGGTAGCACTGGTATAAACTATAATATGCTCAGTCAAAACCCAGCCATTTTCTCCCTAATAGCGATGTATTGCTTGTTTGCTATCTTTCATTTCACTTAACATAAAGGCATTCACAAACCAATTACCTGCAGGCTGACATGCTAACTCCATTGAACATGGACATGTTTATCTGGTTAATATTTTTACCCATCTCCAGGTCTAGCAAAGTCACCAAATCTGTATTTGGCATTTGTTCCCCTTTGACCAGGGCTCTGTAGTTGACAGGCTGTTGTGTTCAGTTGCTTCCTCTTTTATTTCCTGAACCCTTTCATGGATGTTGTGATACAACACATTTTACTCTTGTTTAAACGAGTATATTTTATGTAATGTTAATTATATTTTATTTATGGTTTTGTAATTAATTTTAATTTGGATGGAATGTTATGCATGTTTGTATGTGTGCATACATGTGTATATTGGGGAGGGAGGTTATGTTATTTGAATGTAACTTCCTCTCCAAAGCATCCACACTTCTGCTGTGGAATGGCTGGTGAATTTTGTACTGTTTCAGAATTGCTGTGAAAAGTTCCTCAGAACTGCTCTGAAAGGTTGGGGACATCCCCAGTCTCCATGAAAAGTGGTGGAAGAGGTTGTTTGGAAAGGAAAGGAGAATATCCATGAAGATCAGTATGTACTTCCTTTTTCCTCTGGCAAGCAGTCTACCATAAAAGAACCCAGATTCAACCCTTTAACTGTAATGTAATTACATTTCCCAAAACTCCAGACACCCAGTTGGCTGCCGTGGAAGCATCAGAGGTGATGGAAGAGCAGGTGAATTTTCCTCCTATCACTGGGTTTAAAGCAATGGGAGGAAAGGCAGGAAGGGGCTGAAGGCCAAACAAAAGGAAGGAGAGTGTTTTTCTCTGGATGATTTCTATTAAAATAAAAGCAGCAGGGGAACTTTGGAAAAACATATGTGCTGTGATGCTTGCTACGTGTTTGAAATCAGACTTTCAATGAAAAGGGGGAAAATGTCTATATTGTAGCTGTTTTTAATGTTGCAGAACTGGGGTGCTGAATTTTAAAAAACACAATAAAATGCCACGCCACACACAGTTCCTTCACAAATTCAATTTTTTAAAAAATCAATTCAGTTGTTAGTCAGCTTTGATTAAATGTGGACATCGATGTTCTAGTGTGGTTTCTTTTAGTACTTTTGAATGGATTTTGGTGTTTCATATTAGCAAATTAAAGTGTTTTGAAAGTCTGTTAGAAGACTTTAACCCCTTTCCTACTCTTTGCAGGATCATTTCTTTCAATCACATATTACAACATAGAAATGTCAAAACACATTGGGGGAAAGCTTTATGTGATGGAATAAATCACAGTCTTATAAACCATCTTTTTTTTTAAAGGTTTTATCAGCCTCAATTTTGCAGGCCTATGCTATCATCTCTAATCATAACGATTTATAATCTGAGCCTGGAATCTCTGATAAGGTAACAGTGCATTCATATTGGGGATTTAGACATTTCCTCTAGTGGAGATGGCACAGCCTATTCCTCTCATACATAAACACATACTACTATTTGTAAAGTGACTAAAATGTGCCACTAGCCCTCTTCCCTTCCATTGCCCTTCACCTTTCTCAATGCCAATTGTCACCCAGTGCAAGGGGGGACTGCTGGGGGTGGCAGTAGTAGCTGCCAAAAGGGCTCCCAGCAGTCCCCCCTTGCACTGGGTGGCACTAATCCAGCAGCACTAACCTCTTGTTTCTCCAGCATATGTACTTGTGTACAGCATATGTACTCCAGCTGGTGTGATGCGGTTCGCCTGCACAGTCAGAGGCTGGCTCGTGGAACCAGGGAGGTCCTGGTTATCATCTGGCTGCCATTTAGTAGCCAAGAAGAGGGAAGGGGGGTTGCTTTGCCACACATACCATCTATTCTGTAGAAATCCAGGAAAATGTCTTCTCCTGTCATCTCCCAACAGTAAAACTGAAGCTGAATGATGCTTAGGCATCCTTTCCCCACCCCACCTGGCCATTAAATGGCTGTTTGGGTGTGCTACCACATCCATTCCTCAGTATTAGACTCCACCAGCACAATGTAAGCCTTCACCTGTATTACTGTTTTGTTGTTGTTGTGTGCCCTTAAGTTGTTTGACTTATGGTGACCCTAATGCAAACCTATCATGGGGTTTTCTTGCCAAGATTGGTTCAGAGTGGGTTTGCCATTGCCTTCCTCTGAGGCAGAGAGTGCGTGACTTGCCAAAGGTTACCCAGTGGTTTTCCAGCTGGGATTCAAACCCCAGTCTCCAGAGTCATAGGACGTTATCACATGGGGGAAATCTGCTGGTTAATCCACAC